CGGATAGGCTCTCATCCATGAGAGCCAGCTCCCAGGCACGGCCAGGAATATTATTGGCGCCCGGGGCTTTTCCCTTAGCCACGAGCCTCTTCCTGACCCTGGCGAACTTGCCCGGATCCACCTCCAGTCCCTGTTCCTTAGTTCGGGGACGGAAATGAGGGGGGCTCGTCTCCCGTACTCGAGAAGTGTACGTCGAGCACCCCCCTCTCCCTAGGATCTGGGCGTTCAAGGGACTCCGTCGGCAGGGGCGCTCAGAGACGGATCTGACCGACCGTCCGCTTATATGGGCGCCCACACGGGTCCTCGTCCAGCGAGTCCACCAGTTTCGTCCAGGCGCTAACTTTCACTTCACGGGCGGTGGCTTTAAGGGCTTCCCGTGCCTGACAGTAGTCCTCTTTCTCCCTCATGATTTCCCCGTCATTCTTAGTGCGCCGGGTCCGCGTATACACACGTCTGGCGTGGACGGAGGCTTGCCACAGAGCGGCGACGTCCTCCGTTTACCAATATGCGGCCCGGCGCCGACGGGGATGGGACCTAGGCATCGCGACGTGGCAGACCGACGTCGCGATACCCACCAACTCCTCCGCCTCTTCCTAGGGGCTGGGGTCCCATTCCCCACCCGGCTGATTTAAATGTCAGGTGGCCACAAGGATGGCCGCCGTGAATCTATTCAGTGCCATTTGCCTGAGGGCCTATCTCCCTTTGGGAGGTGGCTGTCGCCCTCCCTCCGGGCAGGGGCCCAGCACCCGCGATGGGGTGGGGAGGCGGAGAGACCACACTTTATAATTATGGTCCGAAAGTATCTCCACCTCCGCCTCCATCACCCAGCTGTTGAACAGCCTTGCAGCCGCTGGGAAGGCCCCGGGCGCCAATAATATTCCTGGCCGTGCCTGCGAGCTGGCTCTCATGGATGAGAGCCTATCCGGGGCCATGAGGCATTTATTCACTAAGTGCCTCAAAGAAGGTGTGTTTCCCCCAGAGTGAAGGATGACGATTCTCGTCCTTCTCCCGAAGGATGGCAAAGCGCCCGATGACTCTTCGGCTTACAGGCCGATATGCTTGCTGGACGAGGCGGGCGAGATGCTCGAACGCATAATTGCCGATCACCTCGTCCAGCACTTGTCCCTGGAAGATCCAGACCTTCACGGCGACCAATATCGGTTTCAGGCAGGCCGGTCTACCTTGGACACGATTTAGCGCATCGCGAAGCTGGCCCGCCAGGCCGTGGAGGAGGGAAACGGGATGTTGTTGGCGGTATCCTTGGATATCTCAAACGCCTTCAACCTGCCTTGGCCAGTAAAGTACTGATTCCCCCGTGGCCGCACGCAGGTTTTGGTGTCTCCCCTATTTATAATAGGTGGATATCAAACGTCGCTGTCCATACCAACACGGCCTCGCCGCGGGAATCCGACTGCCGAGGACTATACCCCCATTCGAGGGCGTGGGCGTTGAAGTCTCCGATAATCACAACGGGTCGGGAGTGGCACTCACATACCATCACCCCGACTTCGTCAAGGATCCCTATTATGCGAGTAAGGCCACCCAAATTGGGGTTGGTGCAGAGGGGCAAGTACATCTGCACCACGGTGATGGGCCTCCAGTCAACAGCGACGAAGCTGTCACCCTTTGTCCTGTACTCACAGGAGGGGAATCGGTCGACGATCTGGCTACCACAGCGACCAAGACGTCCGGGCTGCCGAACCAGACAGAATTACCCAGTACGGCTCGGCGACCAACCTCAGCCAGATGCTGAGCTTCGCGAGACGCTGCATCAGCAGGTCCTGAGCCCGGACGCTGTTGCCGAGGTTGGCCTGGAGACCCGGAGGGGCGTGAAGGCTGAACCTCCATCGGAGACGGCCGCCATAAAGCCGTCCATTCCCGAGGAGATAATAGCTGTCGTGGCCTCTTCCTTGCATCAAGGGGAATATTGGGACTGACGAAAGGGTAGGTAGGGAAGGTACTACCTCACTCCCGTCCGAGTTGCTGGAGGTGTGGCGCGATCCCCCACCTACTCCTCCTCTATACTCACTTCTCCTGTTGGAGGAGCCGTTTCTTATTCCTCCTCTGGTGCGTCCCTCTTCAGGGGAGGTCCGCTTCTTCTACTTGAGTGGATCGTCGTCCATTCTTCGCTTCCTCCTGGGCTTCAGGGTCGGCGACGGCGGTAGCGGTGGTAGTAACTGCGGGTCCTCCATCCCCGTCGCTAGCGTGGGGGGGGGGTGGAGCACACCCCGTTCTCCCCTCAGCCTTCACGTCCCTCGTTGTAGAGGGGAGGGATCGCCCTGTCTCCCTGCTGTCCTGATGTCCTTCCTGGTGGCGGTGGCGGGAGTGGGAGCGGCAGTGGGGACAGAAGCGCCCTCCGCTCCTACTCTTGCGGCCTCCGCCACGTCCCTTCCCTCCTTTCCTTCCACTGGGGCCTAGAGGCCTGCATGCCGGTCCTCCAACTTTATGGTTGGCCGGCCAGCCCGCATAGGCGCAATGCACCTTGCAGTGCGCCTCTGCTGAGCCGCAGCCTTTCGCGAGGTGGCTGGAGTTACCGTAGCGATAACAAAGATCGCTGCGGTCGACGGCGCTGTTGCACTGCCTGTGCACATGGCTGGCATCTGAAGCATATGTCTGCGCGGGTATGCAGCGCCGTCATACTGGCACAGGTCCAGCCAACCTGGGTCCGTTCCGTCGCTGCGATCCTAGAGACCGCCGCGATCGGACACCGTACAACTACGGTTGCAACCCCATGCTGGGAGAACCTGAGCTCGCCCACGGACAATTCCGAGGGCGAGCATACCGTAGCCTGGGACAGCGAGGTCGCGAGTTCCTCGGCTCCGCTGGTCCTATCGAGGCCAGAGAGTCGCAAACTGGCGACTTTCTCCGATCCCCGGAGCCCTTTTCCTCGGCCAGTTGACAGAGGTACTCCGCTAGATGTCTCGTCCCCCGCGTCGGGATCAGGCACTTCTATCAGGATTGCCCAAGTGAGGGCCTGCCAAACCTTAAGGTTTTGGCTATGCCCATCTCCGCTGGGACGATCCGACGCCTGTCCTCCCGCATGAACCCATCGTAGGAATCAGGGGGGCAGGTTACCATGACCGTTGTTGTTCTGGATGGCTCCAGGTTACCCTTCTTTCCTTTCGGTCCGTCTTTCTCGGGCCGAGCTGGAAGCGATGGTCGGGAGCTTCGCCTTCCTCTCCTCCGCCTTTGTCCTCCTTTTCTCCTTTTTCCCCACCACCTTGGACCGCTCCGCTGGAGCGGCCCGTGGCGGGTGGGGAGGAGGGTCCCTGCTGAGCTGCGGCGGGGGCGTCATCCTTGGCGCCCTTGCAGGTGGAGCCAAGGCCGGCATCACAACTCCGGTCGCATCTGCAGTTTCTTTCCTCTTCTTCTTCTTCTTTTTCTTCTTCCCCCCTTTCTTCTCGGCCTCCCCCTGTTTCTCCAACAGGAGGACCTGAATAGGGGGAGAAGAGGTTCGTGCTGCAGGGACCGAAGTCGTAGCTCTCGGTCTTCCGCCATCTTGAGTCTTTCCCACGCGTCGAGGAGGCGGCTGATCTCCTTAGAGATTCTTTCATATTCCGCCTCCTCACGCAATGCGAGCCCAAAAACGGCTAGCGAGTCGTCCATACGTTTGGATAACTCCTGAATGGGTGGTCTCCATGCCGGAGGAGGGCCTCCTCCGACTAATTGTCGTATGACGGTACTTCGCTGGTGGTAGGGGACCCCCTTCTCCCCTCGTCCTCCAATGACGACGTGGAGTCCACAATCCTCCTCCGCGGCCTCTTCCTTACTGTCCTCTTTGTCCTGGCCTGTGGGGGGTACTGCCTCCGGCTGCCTCTGCATACGATTTGGCAGGAGACAGTGGGACGGCAGCCGGGGCGGGGTCCTCCCTGGCCCTGAGTTTCTCCAGGAGTTCCTCCCGGAGACTCCCATTCTCCGCCCTCAGCTCCCTTAGTTCCTTCCTGTGCTCTCCCTATCTCCTACCGCACCGCGTTTGATGATGCCTCATCGATGGTGCCTAGCCTCGCGATGAGGGTCGTCAGAGGCGTCTCCGAGGTCATGACGGCGCGGTTCAGCAGTCCCACGAAGGTCCCCTTAAGGGTTTTTGACCTTCGTGCGATCAGCTTCACCACGCCGAGGGCACGGCTGACCTCGGAAGCGAGTTCTGCCGATTCCGCCTCCCTTAGCCGGGCCATAATGGCTAGATTCCTTAGTATATCCTCAGCGGGGCGCTGATCCTTGGTCGTGTTACACAGATCCCTGCTGAGGAGCTGCCTCCTTCTCCAGACTCACGATCTCCTCCTTCTTTCTGCGCTCCTCCTCCTCTCTTTTCTGGCGCAGACCCACTCCGAGAAAAGTAGTGGGAGGTTTGCCTCGCGGCCGCTTTGCCACTTCCAGCTTCGGCTTCTCCGCCGCCGAAGTACTTGTTCCGCCGCTGGAAGTCCATTTCCTTGCCCTTTTACCGCCCAGGGTGGTGGTGGTTGTGGCGCTACTAGGACCTGCAATAGGTAGCCTGGAGCCCTCTGAAAGAATGATATCGCTCACGACCCCCGATTTCCCGGTGGTCGCAGCCGCTCCTGACTACTTCGTCTTGCTGCACAGAGGCTCCGGCCTTTGTGCGCGCGTCATTCCGACGAGTATTTTACTCCCCGTCAGGGAGGACGACGGAGAGTCCTCCGGCGACCTCCTTGCGGTGGTCCACCGACCCAACCCTCTCCGAAGGGAGAGGGCGGTCCTTCTGACGGGTCCTAATTCCCGTCAGGGAGGACGGTGGAGAGTCCTCTGAAGGCGATCCCTCCCCGTGAAGATCCGCCGGCTCAGCCTTCTCCGAGGGGAGAGGAAGGCCCTTCACCGCGAAAAGTTAGCACCTCATATTTTCAATCCGCCATTTTGTTAACTGATTCGGCGGAACTATTGATATAACCTATCGAGATCAGTAGAGCTATTGTGACCATTAGAACTATCGTTAAAACTTGCGGTGCTAAAAGATGAGGATCTTCACACCGGCCTTGTAAATGCAGGTTCGTACAGATAATGGAATCTACGTTCATGACGTGCTTTCTTTTCGATATTGGATTAGGATTCATATTACATACTTGTGTATGTATAATAGTAAGTAAATATACATAATATATAAATGTATATAATGTAATAATATTTCAATGTATTTCTCTTGGTCCCTCTTTTTGCAATAATATTTTATTTATTTGTAAAATACGATTATATATTTTTAAAAATGGCGATTTTATATAGATTGTAGTTCGAACTGGACAGTTAGCTGAAACTGTACGATTCTTGGCTATTTTGATTCCGCAGTTGTTTCGAATCTTTTTTAGCAACTGGATCGGACAAGAAGTAATCGATCACAGTTCTGAAATCCCTCAAGCCGCGTAAGATAATATTAGAAATCACAAAACTGTTGAAAATTGTCAAAATATCTACTTTTTCAGTTACAGTGCAATGTGGTATGATATGCCTGTCAAAGTGCAAAAGATGATAATGTTATTAATTGCGAGGAGTCAGAAACCTTCTAAATTAACAGTCGCAAAGTTTTATATTATCAATTTGGAAAGTTTCAATATGGTAATGACGCAGAAATGTAATGTAGTAATACATTTTTTAGTGAAAGTATTAATATTATGTATGATACGTATAATTATTTTATTTTAAGGTAATGAAGACATCGATGTCGTATTGCACCGTAATGATTTCCTTAAGTGAAACGTCAGACAGTAGCTAGTTTATTCAATTCTGATAATATTTTTCAATCATACGTATTTGTAGTGTTTAATATATTCCTGATAATATTTTCCAAGAAGTCAAGTGTTAGTATATAAATATTTAATACATATAATAATAATTTATTAAATGTATATAATTACGTAGGCTGCTGGAAAAGTTTCTGCAATCTAAGACTTGCAGTGGCACCATCGTTCTGCTACTCTCATAAAATTAGACGTTTCTAACCTATAATTCAGTTGACAGTTTGTACCTAGTCAACTAGTTTTCTTTGCACAGTATTTTAAAAGAAGTTATTTTATGAGAAAATGGAAATTTCGCGTAAAAATTTTCGGGCAATGATTTTTTACGAATTTTTTACAAATCTAGTCTAACTCCGAAACAATGCATCGATCGACTTCATGTGGCTTTTGGGGATGAAGCATCATCCAATAGGACTGTTTATAATTGATTTGCCGAATTCCAGCGTGGACGCACCTTTCTTAGTAACGAGTTTCGTGAAGATCGTCCATCCACATCTGTTGTTGCCACTAATGTTGATGTTATACGTGAAATAATTGAGCGAAATCAGCATGTGACATACCGCGAAATTCAGGCATCCTTGGGCATTGATATGAAAGCAATACACACGATTTTAAATGATCATTTCAACGTACGGAAACTTTGTCGTTGGATCCCACACAATTTAACCGAACCTCAAAAACAGACTCGTATAAAATGGTGCAAAGAAATGCTCAAGAAATTCAACCGAGGTCGGTCAAATTTGGTCTACAACATCGTTACTGGAGACGAAACATGGATCTGTTCGTACGAGCCCGAAAGTAACAATGCACTGTTGGGTGTTTCAAAATGAGCCGAAACTAACAAAAGTTGTTCGTTCACGCAGTCCTGTCAAGCAAATGATTGCTTGCTTCTTCGATTATACTGAACATGTGACAACCGTGGCTTTAGAAGATCGAAGGACTATAAATGCTGATTGGTATACAACAATTTGTTTGCTAGAAGTCATCAATGAATTATGTAGAACAAACCGAAGTCGTCATCATCATTCTTCACCATGGCAACGCCAGCTGTCACTCAGTACGTCAAACCGTTGATTTTTTATCTAGTAAAAATGTCGATGATTCATTCATTGTTTATATTAACCTGATTTATCACCTAATGACTTCTTCTTGTTCCCAAACATCAAACATAAGATGCATGGTGAACTATTTGTGTCGCCTGAAGCATCTGTTCCGAAGCATTCCGAACACTGAGTTCTGAAGTTACAGCCTCAGAATGGAAAAAATACTCCGAAAATTTATTCGAGCATATGCAAAAGTATATTGATCTTACAGACGGACACTTTGAAAAACAATAAGCCATTTACCGAATTTTACATGTCTTCTTTCATATTGTTTGCAGAAACTTTTCCAACAGTCTATGTATTATATATTAAAAGTATGTAAATATATTAAATATATGAAGAATTATATTTCTATATATCTAACATCGACGGTAAAAAATTATGTTTATATCTTTGTCTATATTATATATTACATTGTTATGATATTGTCTATATTATATATTACATTGTTACATTGTTATCTTGATATACTTATTATAATTTGATTTCTTATTAAAATCTATTTATGTGTATGTATGTTATAATAAGATATATCTAAACTCTATCGACAGGACAAGTTATAAATATTGTTGTGCCCACGCCTTTGGGGAACGTGTTGTTCCCACGCTCTTGGGAGAAGACTGTGAAGAAGGCATATAGAGAATGTTTGACAGCTGTTAAGGAGTTGTCAAGGAGTTTATTTACTAACAACTAGAGTAGAGAGTCGCTCTAGTCCTGTCACAGCGTACGGACGTAAAGCGAATTCGTGCGATTATTTTAAGATTGATTAAGATCCGTTTTTCTTGGCTGTAAATAAAGCTTTTCTCGTTTAGTTTATCCCGAGTTATTTCTTTCATGCGTGAGCACAACAATATGTTGAAAAATAACTAAAAAAATTTTAATAAATATATATCCACAGTAACTTTATTTTTATGTACTCTCTTGATGACAACATTGAAATAAAATGTGTCCCAATAAACGGATTAAAAATATTAATATACCATTTTTTATCTGCTTTTGAAAGTATTGGGTTGGCAAATAAGTTCGTTCGGTTTTTTAGAGTAGAATAAAACAATTTTTTGATATACAAGATAAATTTTAATCAATTATATATTGGCCATCTTTATCGATGACCTCTAGTCATCTTTCCACTAATTTCATTATGCCGCGTTTGTAAAACGTCTGGGGCTTATCGGCGAAAAACCAATCCAGGTGGTTTTTAACGGTCCCTTTATTCTTGAAGGTTTTCCCATTCATAGAGTTCTGCAGCGACCGGAATAAATGATAATCGGAAGAGATAAGATTCGGTGAATACGGAGGATGAGGCAAAACATCTCAGCCAAGCTGAAGCAATTTGTTCCGAGTGGTCGATGACGTATGAGGTCTGGCGTTGTCAGCTGGACGACACCGTGCGACACACCCTGGCCGAATGCCATGCATGGGACAGGGAGCGCGGTGTCCTGGCCCGGGCAGTGGGGTGCAGGGAGTCTGAACTCTCGCTCCCGCGCATGGCAAGGGCCATGTACGGGAGCGAGGAGGTTTGGGGAGAGGCGGCCTCCTTCTGCCGCAGCGTGCTGTCGCGGAAGGAAGCCGCCGAGTGGGAGCGTCGCCCCTCTCGGCGGCCTACTTCCGGAGCGGAGACCGCCGCAGGCAGCAGCGGGGAGGACAGCGCTCCCCGGGGTTGAGTAGCGGGCCCGAGGGGGCGCCGGCCGAGGAAGAGGACAGGCCTCCGGTCCGTCGGAGGCCGCCTCCTCGGCCGCCTCGGGCCCGACTTCGGACGCGGGGGGGAGAGGGGTGAAGGATGTGTCGACCCACCCGCTTCTCCCCTAGGCGTCGGATAGGATAGGCAGAGGGGGGGAGTAGAAGCTCGGGTTTGGGACTAGGCTCCACTCCCCGCCCCCCCTCTCCTATGGAGGGGAGCAGTGGGGGCGCGGAAGGAGGGTGGATGCCCCCTCCCTCCAAGTAACCACCAAAAGGCCAACCCGGCTGAGAAACCAATCAGGGGACCGCGTCCTGGACTCTCTCAGCGGGACAGGACGTGGTATTCGAGGCTATGGGGCTCCCGGAGAGCCCTGGGGCCGAGGTGTCGGGGAGGGAATACAGTGCTGGACAAAATAAATCATACACCTTTCAACTATTTGAATTTGTTAGTGTAACTATTCTTACAACAAGCAAATATATTATGAGATACAGGAAAATCAAAGCATTTTAAAGTATTTAAATAAAGGAAATGTGAAATAATAAAAATTGTGCTCAATTTGTTTGCAAATAATTTATTACTCAATATTGGTGCGTTGTGCCCTGGACAAAATAAATCATACACTTATAGAAAAAAGTAGTCACGAACAAAGAACATTAATTCTAATGGTGCTTAGTACTTGGTGTTGCCGCCTTTAGTTTTTAATACTGCTTCCAGTCGGCGAGGCATACTCTCGACTAATTTTTTCATATATTCAGGATCAATATCCTCCCAAGCTTTCTGAAGTGCTGCATAGTACGATGTCTTGTCAGTTACGTTCGTTTTATCCACGTTCCTATCTAAATAAGCCCACAGATTTTCAATGGGGTTTAAGTCTGGTGATTGTGGCGGCCATTCGAGCAGTTTTATTTTATTAGATTTAAAAAAGGCAATAGTTTTTTTCGCTTTATGCTTCGGGTCATTATCTTGCTGGAAGATAAAGTTAGTTTCTAAATCTAATTTCAAAAGAGATTCTTCCAAATTCTCGCACAATATATCAATATATCTTTCTGCCGTCATAATACCTTCAATTCGAGCCAAATTACCGATACCAGACCATGCAAAGCATCCCCATACCATGATATTACCGCCTCCATGTTTTACAGTCTTCTGAACATTTATTTCTTTGAGACCCTCACCAGATTTTCGCCATACTCTAGACCGTCGTTTTTGTCCGAATAACTCAAACTTGCTCTCATCAGACCACAATACTGTTTTCCAAAAACTTAGAGGCATATTCGCATACTTCTTGGCAAACTCGAATCGCTTTTTCTTATTTATTTTATTGATGAAAGGACGTTTTGACGCGAACACACTTTTTAGTCCAGTTTCCCTAAGTCTACGACGCACAGTTCTACTGCTAACAGTCAGGTTCATCGATTCCACAATGTTTCGCGATGATAGCTTCGGATTTTGTTTTACCATTCGAACGATTCTGGTGTCATCACGAAAAGTTGTAGCCCGTTTTCGACCTTTTCCGGAATAGTTTGCCACAATCCCATGTGTTTCATATTTTTTCCAGATGTGCTGCACTGCTCCGACAGAAATCAAGTATTTATTAGCAATTTTTCTAAAAGAATTACCATTCTGTCGGTCGCGAATGACTAAATTTCGGATATCAAGAGAAATTTGCTTCTGTGACATTGTTCTTGGTTGTCACAATTATTACTGCTTCACCGAACACATAAACTCTAGTCATATATACAATGTAAACAAACAGTAGAATGACGAACAATAGCAGAACGATGAAATGTAAATATTGACAGTTTCCTACCATATATCATTTAGGTGTATGATTTATTTTGTCCAGGGCACAACGCACCAATATTGAGTAATAAATTATTTGCAAACAAATTGAGCACAATTTTTATTATTTCACATTTCCTTTATTTAAATACTTTAAAATGCTTTGATTTTCCTGTATCTCATAATATATTTGCTTGTTGTAAGAATAGTTACACTAACAAATTCAAATAGTTGAAAGGTGTATGATTTATTTTGTCCAGCACTGTATGGGAGTAGTTCCCCTGACTCCCCCCACCGGTCCGGTTGGTAGACATCCCGCAGGGGTTTTAGTCAGAAGGAGTCTGACATAACCCCCGACCCCCCAAGAGGGTCGAAGGTATCCATGATGGATTTCCCCTGCGTTACCAAAAAAAAAACAGGTCTGGCGTTGTCGTGGTGGGAGACGACATCCTTGCGATTTGCTAATTCTGGACATTTTGTGCGGTTTGCT